TCACAAACAATTAAGCAATCACAACCTAATTGTTTGCTAGGACTCTACAAGATTGAAGAACCCTAAGTTTGCTAAGATAATGAATTTGGGAAAATAATCCTCAACTTTATTAATCAACTCAACTTAACTTTTACAAGAGATATTGGTGGCCTTATATAGTGATAGGGTCAACCAAAATCCTAAAATAAATCCTAATTTTCGTCCAAATATAAGGACTAGGAAAAAACTAGTCCTTGTACTTTGTCAGATTCTAGGACTACTTTGAATCCTTTCTTACATAGAAGATTAGCAGATACAAGATTCTTTCTCATTTCTGGTACAGGAAATACATTAAGCAAGGTTAATTTCTGTCCAGAAGTAAACTTCATTTCAACAGACCCTTTTCCCATGATGGTTGTAGCAACATGATTTCCCATAAGGATTTTTTCAGACTCATTACATTCTTCATATGTCTTGAACAACTTCTTGTTGTTGCATACATGAATCGTTGCACCAGAATCCAGCCACCAAGAAGAGGATTCGTTTGTAGCATCAGCCATGTTAATTTCGGTTATCATGCAAATTTGCATTTCAGAAACCATAGCAACAAAATCCTTGACTTCTTGTTCCACAAGATTAGCCTTCTGATCAGAATTTCCAGGTTTTGCAGTAGAGTTTTTGAAGCGGCAATCCTTAATGAAATGCCCTTTCTTGCCACAATGATAACACATTATCTGATTTTTGTTACCATAAGGCTTTTTGAAACTCTTTTTCTGAACCTTGAATTTGTTCTGAAATTTTCCTCCAGATTTTCCAAAACTTTGCTCAGTCACATAATTGACATTTGAGTCACTCCCACCATGTGCAGCATATATTTCATCTCTTGCACGATTCTCAGATTCAATTTGAAGATGAGTACAGAACTCATCAATGGTGAGAAGCTCTTTGGAGTGTAGCATCTTCTTTCTGTAATTGTTTCATGAAGGAGGCAACTTTGACAAAATTGCTCCAATTTGTAAAGCATCAGGAACGTTTATTTCCAATTCTTTAATTTTGGAAACTAAGACTTGCAATTCATGCACTTGATCAAGAACAGGTTTACCATTAGTCATGGCAAATTCAAAGTATTTCAAAGCAAGGAACTTGTTAGTACCTTTTTTCTCATTCTGATATATTGCTTCCAATGCAGCCCAAATTTCTCTTGGTGATGTCATATTTCTATATAGATCATAGAGACGATCGGACAGAGTGTTCATAATATAGCCTCGACAAACCAGTGAGTCCTCTTCACGTTTGGTGCGAGCGTTTGAACAGCATCAGTTTCTTCTGGAGTTGGATCTGGAATTGGAGCCAAATTCTCATCAAGGACATAGTGGAGTTTGAGAGCAGTCAAGAGGAACACCATCTTGTCCTTCCATCTAGTGTAATTCGTCCCATTGAAACGATCAATTTTTGCCACATCCTAACTTTGAAGATGAGCATTCAAACTTGAATGCAAACTTGATTGCAGATCGAAAATGGGAGGAAAAACGGATGAACTTCCAGCAGCATTTGTTGAAGCCATAATAAATCCTCTAAATTGTTGTAAAATCCAGAAAAGAAACAGAGAGATTAAGAAGAATAGAGAACGCTTTGAGGCGTGATTGAAATCACTTTCTTAGAAGATTTATTCCTCCAGGATACAACAAAGCAAAAACTCTCTGATTAGAATTGTGAAACTGGTTAAGGAAGAGAAGTTTAAATAGAATTGAATGGTTACACCTCTTGATCCCAAAAGTTACGCTAGGTAACTGTTTAATGGATAATCATAATCGTTCAGTTAAAAAACTTAATAATTATAATTAATAAAAAATAATCATAATTATTCATATATCAAAAAATATATTTATTAGTCAAGAGGCCCAAGAGCCCAAGTGCCCCAAGTGCCCTCATCATAGACTTTAAAATTATTCTATAAATATCCTAATGGACTACCAAGAAGCCCATAGGATTTGGCCCACTCACTTGACATTGCTCAACTAATAGATAGTTGACACTAACTCTATTTAAACAACTAAACCTCTTCTTCTCTTATCAATGTGGGACTAACACCACATCTAAAACTACCAACACTAATTAGACTCAATATAGACTTAGGAAGAGTGTAGGACGATTTAGAGGCTTGTCTTGGTCTCCAAGTTGGCTTAAAAGTCTTCCTAGTACCGAAATTAGAGTGAAATTTGGACTCTAGAAAATTCTTGGATCGTGCAGAGACTTCAACAACAATTTCGGGCTTGAAGATGGCAGAACTGGGCTTCAGGGTTCAAAGCAAAGTTGTAGATCTCGGAGCGCTCTTTCCAACGGTTACTAATACGCATTTTTGGATGTCTAGATCTAAAGTTATGGCCTTTTTACCAACACTGCACAAAATCCTAAGCCAACTAGGACTAGTATTCCGGGAATTGGATATTTCCTTGGGCTTATGCGGCGCAAATTGGGATTTTGACTCCAACTATGGGCTTATATGGACTGAGTATTATCCCATATAAAATATACAAAATTCAAAGGCTTCCGGGTTTCAAGGCTATGGAGAAACCTTATCTTCAATCCTTCGCGATTTAAGCTCAATCATCAATTCTTGCTTCTTGAAGTAATTCTTCATTGGTCTTCAATTCTTGAAATTATCTTCAATAAATCTTCAATCACGAACTTCGAATCTCCAAATCTTCACTCCAAATTGCTAAGTCCATATTTATGCAAAAAGTATTCAAAATAGCTCCAAAAATAGTGAAAACAACAAGTTTCCACTTTTCTTCTCTTCAAGACCTAAAAACACAAATACCTATCAAATAAGGTTAAAATACACATAAAAATACTAAAAAGCATAGGAAATAATCATAAAATTAGGGACTTTTTTGGCTCGATCACTTGGCTACTTCAATCCACTGCAACTTTACAAGATGATGTTTTTTTGTCTTCATTGTTATCAAAGGCTCAGTATATGAAATGTTTACAGCAGGTTTTTATAGTATTATGGATGATTTGGTCGAATCGCAATAAATTCCATCTTGATCACAGATGTTTGTTACCAGCTACCTTGGTGTATCGTGCTACTCAGTATGTTTTTGATTTTCCAGTAAACAAAAATACAGTGCCAAGAACTCGTTTGATTGCTCAGTGGACTCCTCCTACCGGTAGATATGTTAAACTCAATACATATGCTTATTATTCGGCTATTACAAAGACAACAAGACTTTGGATCGTATTAAGAAATTCATCTGGTGAAGTTGTCTCCTCAGCCTTTAAGCAAATTCCATTTGTAGCTGATGTTCTTCATGCTGAAATATTTGCAATTCATTTTGGAATGTTGATTGCTAGAAATTATGGTGTTCAAGATTGTATTGTGGAGAGTGATTCTCTTATGTCTATTGAAGAGATACACAAAGGGGCTTCATTGACATGGCAAGGTTACTGTTTGCTTCAAGAAATATTAGATTTAGCTTCATCTTTCTCTACTTGTACTTTTTCTCATATTAGTCGCTCTTTGAATGTTGTTGCTCATAAGATTGCCCATTTAAGTTTTAGTGAGGGTGCATACTTTGTTTGGTGTGGGGTTTTACCTCCATGCCTTGTGTAACTCTCTTATTATCTAATTCAAGTTTCTACTTGATTCTAAAAAAAAAAAAATCTTAAGTAGTATTATTTATATGGGTAAACTTGTAAGTTGAATTAAAAAAAAAGGCACTAAAATCCGATGGCATTGAATATTGCTAAATACTTAGTTTAATTCTAGCAGATAATTCTTTTTTATCCTCCAATTTGTCCCTCCAACTTGATCCTCCTAATAATTAAGGAAATAAATTAAATTCAAGTTTAGCCCCCCTAATAATCAAGGTAAGAAATTAAATCCAGATTTAGCCCCTAGTTATAAATAATGGAGAGTTTGAGGGTAAATTCCTTGCTTTTAACCTATTATTGAATAGGGTTTTAGAAATTATGGTAAGTTTTTTGATGACACGTCAGGAGGGACATATTGGAGGGACAAGTTGGAGGGACATGTGACACGGGAGTGTCCCATTCTCTCAAACAAGATGATTCGGGTGATGTTGTTACAATTAGTAAAGCAAGCACCTTGCCATGTGAGCAGCTTGCTTTAGTGCCATGTCATCAAGGGTGGGACCAAGGAGCCAACGTGGAGCCAAGCAAGCACCTCTCCAATATTGAGCCTAGGTGGAAAGCAAGCACCTCTCTTTGTGTGACAAGTGTTGATGATCATCCATTCTCCATGTGACACCTTTCGGTCAACAAAGGAGGCTATGAAAACCCTTGTGTGAAGTTCTCTATTTTGGTTGGAAGATGATGGCAAGTTGTTCAACTTGATGAGGCTTCATCATTCATGCATGGAAATGATCAATTCGGCTGCCTACAACCCGAATTGGTTTCATACTACTTTTGAGCTCATTTTGAGCTAATTCAGCTATATTATGTTTAAGTTGTAATCTGTTTAGTTTGAGCTTGTTTAATTAGTTTAAGTAAGTGTGTTTAGTGTGCTAATCCTACTATATAAGCTACGGATGAGCACTATTCCAACAAGACTTGAATTTTGTAAACTTTGAACATTTGTTTTGCTTTGTAACCTTGTCTAGGTTCTTGCAAACTTTCCTTGTCAATTTGAGTGGTGAAATTCTGTATCTCATCTTGATTTGGAGTAATAGAAGCTTGTTCATCTCTTGAATTTCACTTGTGGTGTATCTGTATCAAGTTAAGTTCATTTGTGAGTGAGTTTCGACCGATTCTAGCTCTTGGTGGTGAAATCTGTATCCTTGGGTGATTGAATCCGTGTGCTTATATTTTCATCAATTCCCTTGCAAATTGATCTTCAGTTAGCCTAAACACTTACCCTTTAGGATTTGAAGCGCAACTTTAAGCACTTGAAGCACATACAAGGTTCGGGTACTTGGTGAAAGCAACTCATTTGAGCCTATTAGAGCTAACCCCGTATGAAATTGGTATTCAGAGCTTTGGTTGTGGGGAGACTCATCATGTCTCAACAAGGAAACGATGGGGTGAGAGTTGCAGCTAATGGAACGGTTGAAGGCGTTAGAGCCTTGGTTGAAACTCTTCAAAATCGGCTCCATGTGGTGGAAGAAAGGGAGAGACGTCGTGAGGAGAGTGAAGAAAGTTCTAGCTCTCATACTAGAAGAGGAAGCCGTGGTGGCGGTGCTTCTAGTAGTTCAAGTGAATCTATGCATCCCTATGATGTAAGAGCTCATTTAAGGAGGCAACATCAACAAAAAAGGAGAAATGAAAGAAATGATGTAGTTGGTGATGTTGGTGATGCAAATCGGCAAGTGCAAAGAGTAAGAGATCAAGATGATGTTCAAAACACTTATGTTCATGCTTATACTCCCAAAGTTGAGATTCCTGAATTTGATGGGAACGGGCAACCTGATGATTTCCTTGATTGGTTACACACGGTCGAGAGAATCTTTGAATATCAAGATGTGCCTGGGAATAAGAAAGTGAAGCTTGTTGCTATCAAGCTTAGAAAACATGCATCTTTGTGGTGGGAGAGCTTGTTGAAGAAAAGAGAAAGGAGGGGCAAAGACAAGATTCGGACATGGGACAAGATGGTCCGAGAGTTGAAGAAGAAATTCTTGCCCGAGGACTACAAGCAAGATGTGTTTATCAAGCTTCAAAACTTGAAACAAGGTGCTATGAGTGTTTCGGATTATACAGCTGATTTTGATTCCTTGATGATCAAAGCAAACATTAATGAGCCCGAGGAGCAAACAATTGCAAGGTACTTGGCTGGTTTAAGAGTTGATATTGCTAATGTTGTTTCTTTGTAGCCTTATTGGTCCTTGAATGATGTTACAAAGCTAGCCTTGCGGGTTGAAAGGAAATTGAAGTCAAAATCTGTTATTTGATTTGGTGGCGAAGATTTTGGCAAGGGGACAACTTCTAAGTCTCCATTTGCTCCTAAACCGAAAGTTGATGAGAAGGACAAAAGCAAGAAAGGTGGTGATGATGCCGAGAAAGCTAAGTTGAGACAAGAGAGAAAATGTTTCAAATGTCATTGCTTTGGGCATATGGCTGCAGATTGTCCTAATAGGAGGGTTGTGACACTTGTGGAGGACAACGATGATGATAATGAGGAGGTTGAGGAAGTACCCGATGAGGAGGAAGAAGAGGAACTCACCTATGCCGATTAAGGAGAGTCCATTGTAGTGCAACAATGCTTCAAGGTGACTCAAGTTGTAGAGGGTGAAGATTGGAAGAGGAAAAATGTGTTCCATACTCGGTGTACATGTCAAGGGAAGGTGTGTATGGTGATAATTGATAGTGGGAGTTTTGAGAATTTAGCCTCGGTGGAAATGGTTGAAAAGCTTGGTTTGAAGACCACTCCCCATCCTTCACCGTACAAACTTAGTTGGTTGAAAGATGAATCGGATTTGAGGGTGACTTTGAGATGTGTGGTGCCATTTTCCATTGGGAAGCATTATTCGGATGAGGTTGAGTGTGATGTTGTTCCCATGGACGCTTGTCATTTATTGTTAGGAAGTCCTTGGTTGTATGATAGGCATATGATGTATGATGGTCATGCTCATACTTACACTTTGAGGAAGGATGGCTGAAAGATCACTTTGGCTCCTTTGAAGCCAAATATTGTTCCTACACCAAAGAAAGAGGCTTTGCTCATGACTAGGAAGGAGGTGATCCGAGAGCTTAGAGGTGAGCCTATTGCATTTGCTTTGGTTGATGAGAATGATGTTGTGCAGGATTCGGGTTTGCACCCAAAATTGTTACCATTGTTTGATGAGTATGGAAATGTGTTCCCGGATGAAATTCCAGCTGGTTTGCCACCATTGAGGGACATTCAACACCAAATTGATCTCATTCCAGGTTCGGTGTTGCCTAATAAGCCAACTTATAGAATGAGCCCTAAAGAATATGAGGAGCTACAAAGGCAAGTGGAGGAATTGTTGCAAAAGGGGTTGATCCGAGAGAGTTTGAGTCCTTGTCCAGTTCCTGCTCTTTTGGTGCCAAAGAAGGATGGTTCATGGAGGATGTGTATTGATAGCCGAGCCATCAACAAAATCACCTTTGATTATAGATTCCCCATTCCTCGGCTTGATGACTTGCTTGATCAATTACATGGGGCAAAGGTGTTTTCTAAGATTGATTTGAGGAGTGGTTATCACCAGATTCGGATGAAGCCTTTAGATGAGTGGAAAACAACTTTTAAGACAAGGGATAGCTTGTATGAGTGGCTTGTGATGCCATTCGGGTTGTCTAATGCACCTAACACATTCATGAGATTTATGAACCATGTTCCCAAGTCTTGTGTAGGTGAGTGTGTAGTTGTTTATTTTGATGACATCTTGGTTTATAGTCCTGATGAAGATTCTCATATTGTGGATTTGAGAAAAGTGTTTGATCTGTTGAGAAATGAAAAGCTTTATGCTAATGTGAAGAAGTGTCATTTCTTCACTCATGAGGTTGCATTTTTTGGGGTATATTGTTTCGGGTGATGGTGTCAAAATGGATAGTGGGAAAGTTGAAACAATTCTGAATTGGCCTACTCCTAAGTCAATTCAAGAGATTCAGAGTTTCCATGGTTTGGCATCATTTTATAGGAGGTTCATTAAGGGGTTTAGTACTATTGTTGCTCCTATCACCGAATGCCTCAAAAGTAAGAAGTTTTGTTGGACAAGGGAAGCTCAAGCTAGTTTTGATGAGTTGAAGAGGAGAGTGACCGAAGCTCCAACATTGAAATTACTCGATTTTAGTGCACCATTTGAAGTAGAGTGTGATGTCTCGGATGTAGGCATAGGGGCTGTTTTGAGCCAAGGAAGACACCCCATTGCATTCTTTAGTGAAAAGTTGAATGAATGCAAAAGAAAATACTCTTTTGTTATGATAAGGACTTCTATGCATTGGTGCGGGCACTTGATCATTGGTCACAATACTTGCTGCCACAACCTTTTGTGTTGTTTTCGGATCATGAAGCCTTGAATTTCATCAATCAACAACACAAGCTTAATAGGAGACATGCAAAGTGGGTGGAGCTTTTGCAATCTTTTAGTTTCTCCATTAAGCACAAGGTCGGGGCTCAAAATGTAGTAGCCGATGCACTTAGTAGGAAGTTCACACTTCTTACCTCATTACAACTGCAAGTTGTGGGATTTGAAGCTATTAGGGAGTTATATGAGCATGATGAAGACTTTGGAGACGCATGGAGATCTTGTCATCATGGCCCTAGTAAGCTCTATTCTCTTGTTGATGATTATTTGTTTTATGCTAATAGACTATGTGTGCCTCGTTGTTCTTTGAGGTTGGCTATTGTAGAGGAAGCTCACGGTGGAACATTGAGTGGGCATCTTGGAAGGGCTAAAACTTTGTACATGGTGCAACAAAACTACTATTGGTCGAGACTTGAGAGGGATGTTGCTAGGCATGTGTTATCATGTCATGTATGTCATGACATACATCACCTGAGAGACCCACCTAAGATCAACTTGAATCACCAAACTTCTAGATGAGTATGTCGACAATCTTCACTTGATAAATCTCCCTTCGTTCGTCGTCCTTAGACCCCCAAGTCGACCTGCACTTGAACACCTAAGATCACAAGAATTCACAAACAATTAAGCAATCACAACCTAATTGTTTGCTAGGACTCTACAAGATTGAAGAACCCTAAGTTTGCTCAAACTAGAACAATGAAGCTAAGATAATCAATTTGGGAAAATAATCCTCAACTTTATTAATCAACTCAACTTCAACTTTTACAAGAGATATTGGTGGCCTTAGATAGTGATAGGGTCAACCAAAATCCTAAAATAAATCCTAATTTTCGTCCAAATATAAGGGTTAGGGAAAAACTAGTCCAAACCCGACTAGGAAAAGGAAATAAAGACATAATTAAACAAGGATTGGACTTAGTCAACCAAGACCCAATCCAAATAAGGTCCAAACTTAAAAATAAGCTAATCTAAGATAGAATTAAGCCCAAAAAAAAGATAACTAATGATAATGGGCTCATGCCATGATGTCAATCCGGCCATCTAGAATCAATAGCAAGTAAAGTAATGAACTTGTAATTGATTTGTAATTTCTTGCCCAAATCATCACCAAAGCTCTTCAATTGAACTTCAATGGTCTTCAAGTCTTCAAGATGAGTTCGAACAAGGCCCATGAGTGCATCCTTGAATCTCTTAGTTCTTACTCTTGTCATTGGACCTAATGGCATCTTCAAAGGATCAAATGGCATCTTAATGGCATCTTCTTGGTGAATTGCGATTCCATTCTCTCCTTTAAGCTTGTCCACGCTTCTTTGCAACCCTTGATCATCCTTTCCATGCTCTTCATGCTTGTCTTCAAGTCCATAGTAAGTCCTTGACGCATCATTCCTTCCATGATAAGCCTTGGCGCATCAACCTTGCCATGTGAGCATCTTACTTTAGTGCCATGTCATCAAGGGTGGGACCAAGGAGCCAACGTGGAGCCAAGCAAGCACCTCTCCAACATGAGCCTAGGTGGAAAGCAAGCACCTCTCTTTGTGTGACAAGTGTTGATGATCATCCATTCTCCATGTGACACCTTTCGGTCAACAAAGGAGGCTAGGAAAACCCTTGTGTGAAGTTCTCTATTTTGGTTGGAAGATGATGGCAAGTTGTTCAACTTGATGAGGCTTCATCATTCATGCATGGAAATGATCAATTCGGCTGCCTACAACCCGAATTGGTTTCATACTACTTTTGAGCTCATTTTGAGCTAATTCGGCTATATTATGTTTAAGTTGTAATCTGTTTAGTTTGAACTTGTTTAATTAGCTTAAGTAAGTGTGTTCAGTGTGCTAATCCTACTATATAAGCTACAGATGAGCACTATTCCAACAAGACTTGAATTTTGTAAACTTTGAACACTTGTTTTGCTTTGTAACCTTGTCTAGGTTCTTGCAAACTTTCCTTGTCAATTTGAGTGGTGAAATTCTGTATCTCATCTTGATTTGGAGTAATAGAAGCTTGTTCATCTCTTGAATTTCACTTGTGGTGTATCTGTATCAAGTTAAGTTCATTTGTGAGTGAGTTTCGACCGATTCTAGCTCTTGGTGGTGAAATCTGTATCCTTGGGTGATTGAATCCGTGTGCTTATATTTTCATCAATTCCCTTGCAAATTGATCTTCAGTTAGTCTAAACACTACCCAAACACTTACCCTTTAGGATTTAAAGTGCAACTTTAAGCACTTTAAGCACTTTAAGCACATACAAAGTTCGGGTACTTGGTGAAAGCAACTCATTTGACCCTATTTGAACTAACCCCGTATCTTCATGTAGCAATACTCTATTCTAGCAGCAGCAAGTTTCAATTCTGTAGAAAGTTTATAAAGACAAAGTTGATTATAGCATCAAGGATGGAAGAAAATCAAGGATGGAAAATGAAAAGTAGTTATTATTTTGAGCACGAATCAAACCTTTAAATTTAATGGGTGTCTAATAAAAATCTTCTATCAGAGGATCCTCTCCTAATCTTTCTGCACTTTTTAATCTTTCCTTAATCTCTGGTTCTATGTCATATGAAGCTTCACTGCGTAATTAAAGATACAATTTCCATATAATTATAATTAAAAAAGCAACTAATAATTGATTAGCTAAAACGAATAAAAAGGAAAAACCCTGGAAACCACCTCTATTAATTAAATCCCTAACTTTTGTATAAATTAACCAAACCTTTAATATATTGCCTCTTCTTCAAGATTTACTTTTATAAAATAAGTTGAATTAGGTTTCTGAAGAATTTGATTTACTCAATTATGGCGTTCCTTAAGAAGTTGTTTGGTGATCTTTTTAATTGTTGGGTGACTCCAAAGAAGGATGATAATAAGGAGAAGAACCTTAGACCTATACTTAAGAGGCATAGCACTCTAAAGTCGATGGAGGATGATAACAATAAACCTAAACCTTCCAACAAAAAAGTTTCTTTTGACCTTGATGAGGATGGTTTCAAGAAACTGATCAAGAAAGCAGATCATTTGGTAAGTATTGCAATCTTTATCTATTCTCTTTCATCCCCAATTTTTAATGTTATTCTTATTTTTATTATTTATTTTCTGCTATATATGTAGGCAGTTTTAGTGTGTCGGTCCATGATCACTTTGTGCTTAAATAGTTTTGATTAAATATGGTTTAAAATTTGGTTTTAATAATTTGACTTGATTCTTCATAGGTGGAAGTTTAATAAAAATTATATTTTTGTAATTAAGCACTTATAAGTCTTTCTAATAAAAATTATATTTTTGTAATTAAGCACTTATAAGTCATTCGTTTAGATCTGCTCAATAGCTTTTGTGTATGGGATTCGAGTTTAATTTGTAAATAGACAAAATAGACTTGAAGAGATAATTCCTTTTTGAAAATAGACAAATAAACATGGAGAGAGAATTCCTCATTGAATAGACTTTTTTCGATGAATCAAGATCTAATGTAGCAAAATAGGATATTAAGGCTTGTAATAAAAACAAAAATCATATCTATATTTATGAATTGTCGAAAAATTTTATAGCTTGGTAATTTAGTACTTGAAATCTTAGACAGTAATATGTTTATATGTACGAGGGCGAGATCCAAGTCATATGGTGTGTGTTTATGTGTTATTTTTTTGAGTGATGTTTATGTGTTATTTAGTTCTTATCTGACTTGGATTGATGATTTCGTCAAAGCTTATGCATGTTATAGTATTTTTATTATATCGATCGTAACTCGAGATCTCTAATATGGATTTTCAAACTCTAAGCACTATGGTCTCATTGGGAACGTTTTTTTCCCCCTCTTTTTTTAATTATGGGATAAAGCATTTTAAAATATTTGACAATGATTTTAGAAAAGGTAGCAAACTTTGCCAATTGGTTATGTGCATGTAAATTGCTTGATTTTCCTTTCGCCGTATTGCAAAAAAAAAAAAAATGCTTGATTTGATGTTTTTTATTTCCATGCTTTTCACAGCTTGGAAGGCGTAGCATTTGAAGAACATGGAAGAGCTGAGGAAAATCAAGTCAATCCTTGAAGATACAAAATCTTAAATCTGGAATGAAGATTATTATATTTATTTTATTTAATAATGTTAAGTCTAATATCAGTAGGGCTATAAGTAGTTCATTTGTTTTAATTTGAAGGGCCATGCATGCCAGGTCTTGCTGTAAACCGAATTATTATATATATGCTACATTATATCTGAAGGTGATAATAACTTGTAAAAATTATTAAAGATTTCTTGGTTATATTAACAAATTTGAATTTTAGTATCAATCAAATATGTTAAAAGTAAAGTAAAAAGTAAATTATATTTCAACAAGAAAAAAAAAAAGAGAAAAAAAGTAAGCAAAAACAAAATTGAAATATAATTAATTAATAGCCTAAGAAGGATGTTAATTTTTTGATTAAAAGCATATAGCATTAACATTAACATATAATAATAAAGGGGAATTCACCCAAATTTACTTCTTTTTTTTTTAGGGAACACCCAAATTTACTTAATCAGTCAAAATCCTGCTTTTAATCCTCCTAAATTAACTTGAGGAAACCGAAAAAAAAAAAACCCTAGCAGGTACGAAAGAAATGGAAATGAAGGAAAAGGTTTCCTTTGTTTTGTAGGAGAGAAGTGCACAGTAGGAAAGAAGTGGAGGGGGAAATGGGAGAAATGGACAAGCCATTTTTACAAAATTTACTTCCGCCCAATGTTGGGCGGAAATGGTGGGGAAGAAGGACTCAATAGGCTTCCAGTATATTGAAAAGATTGTCATACCTTTAAAAATTGTTTCAAATTACAAATTTACTTCTCAATTTGTTTTTTGGTACGGGCTTCTCAAACTTTCAAACTTGGGCCGCTAATTTTTTTTTTCTTTTGAAATGGGCTGCTAGCCTGCTACTTGCTTCCATGATTTATATGCATTTTACCAAAAAAAAAGTGATTATATACATAATATTATTTCTATATAATATATAAATTACATAAATTTACTTATTAATTTACTAAAGAAAAAAGTGTATTTAAATATATTTTTTTATTAAAAAAGGTAAAAGGAATAAAAGACAGTATTAAACTGTATAATGTTCTTATAATAATGTTCTTTTATAATTTTTATTTTGCATTTGAAATTGATCAATAAGTTTTTTTCTTTTTAGAAATTTATCAATGAGGATAAAAATATTTCATAAAAATAAAGTTTCTTTCTCTCTCATTTCTCATCCATACCAAACAAGGGAAAGAATTAATTTATTAATTCGCTACTAGTTTCTTTCCTTCCTACCAAACATGATGGAGGAAATGTGACTTCCTTTCCCTTGCTATTTGCTTTCTTTCCTATTTTTTTCCACCCTACCAAACTGACTCTAAGGCAGGAACGAATCAATCATCATAATTAGAATCAATTCACCTTCGAAAGCCTACTTATCTCTTGCCAAAGAGCAGCCTCTTCCTCTGGGGTATAATCGTTATCGATTCGAAAATAGTTCCTAACATACTCCACACTCTTATTCTTAATCCTATCAGCCACGGCCTGGTTCACCATCTCGAGAAGGTCTTTTATGTTGAGATAGTTAGCGGCCAAGATCATCTCCTTGAGCGACACCTTGTCTTTGGCCTTGATAAATTCCTCAACGAAGGTCCCGACCTCATCGTCGGTATCTCTACCACGTCTAAGGAACTCCAAGTGTTACCTGCAGTACTCGATAATGGTCGAGAGGCACTTGGAGGTGACGTTGGGGAGGGGCATGAGCTCTTCAGAAGTGTCAGGGTTCTCGTTGAGGAAAGTCTTGATAGTGACAAACTCCATGGCTATTGCTTCCTCAACTTCCAACTCTTGGTTATCGGTGGTTCGAAGGGTAATTTTCTTGAGAGCAGCAAAAGATTATTAGGGTTATGGAGATTTTGAAAACTTTTGATTCTGATGGGACTGGAAAGGATGGGACTTGATGCGCCCAAGGCTTATCATGGAGGGAATGAAGCGCCAAGGACTTATCATGGACTTGAAGATGGCTATGGAGAGTAAGGAAAGGATGTGCAAGGGCTGCAAGGAAGCATGAAGATGCATGAAGATCATGGAGATATCGTTGAGCATGTTCCAAGCACCAAAAAGATTCTATTCGATCCATTGAAGATGCCTAATGGTCCGATGACAAGAGCAAGAGCTAAGAGATTCAATGATTCACTCATGGACCTTGTTCGAACTCATCTTGATGATATGAAGACCATTCAAGTTCAATTGAAGAGCTTTGATGATGATTTGAGCAAGAAAACACCAATCAATTACAAGTTCATCACTTTGCTTGCTATTAATTCTAGATGGCCGGATTGACATCATGGCATGAGCCCATTAGGTTTAGTTTGCTTTGTTTGGGCTTAATTCTATCCTAGATTAGCTTATTTTTAAGTTTGGATGTTATTTGGGTTGAGCCTTATTTGACTAAGTCCAATCCTTAGCTATTTTTCTATTGGTTGTATTTTTGGATAGTTTCTAGAAGGTTCTTTTGTGTAGCCTTTATATTTGGACGAAAATTAGGGTTTTAGAGTAGATTATGCGTTGGTCTTGTGCCTAAGTCAAGTTATCAATAAAGTTGAGAGGTTTATTCACCCCAAATCGATTATTTGGCTTCATTGTTCTTGTTTGAGCAAACTTAGGGTTCTTCGATCTTGTAGAGTCCTAGCAAACAATTAGGCTGTGATTGCTTAATTCTTTGTGAATCTTGTGATCTTAAGTGTTCAATTGCAGGTCTAATTGAGAGCTTAAGGCCGACGAACGAAGAGGAAGACTCGGTTAGCTTTATCGACTCATACAAGTCTAGAAGCATTGGTGTTTAAAGTTGATCTTTGGCGGGTCTCAAAGGTGAATTTGAATCTAACACAACTAGATTCGTATCAGGACTTGACACCTTATTTATACTGCGCTATTTGTTTTGGTACTATGGGACTCCTAGTCCTAGTTTTTTTTTTTTTAAAAAAAAAAAGAAAAATGTTGTAAAATGAAATTACAATAAAATATGTACTAGAAATTACAATAGGTTGAAAAAAGTATCCATCCTTCACGTTTAGATCCTGATCTCGCTTCACGACCCGAGCCATCTTGAACCTTTTTCATAAGTCTCTAGCACGTGCGACACCTCTTCGCTCTTGTTTCTGTGTAATTCAATCAACAGAAAATTTTCAAAAGCGACACAAAGGTGAGTGATTTGAGAACCCCCTTGACTAACCCGTAGATCATAAAGTGAAATCATATCAAAACTAAGATGAATTGTCTGAAATCTATATAAACTCGGAGACACACTCAACTAACCCAACAGATCTATAGATTTGTGGAGATTATTCTGAACAAAGGAAAAAGTGAGGAAAACGATGAAATCAACCTCATCCTCCCCTTGAATGATCAAGAGGATGAGGGTATATAAAAAAAAAAAACTTGGAAGAAAACTAAGAACTTGGGAAGAGAAAAATCATCTTGCAGGTTAAACAATGAACTAGGTCTTCCATTTTATTCAAGAAACGCTTCAACTCCCAATAAATTATGTCAGACTTTGGCCTCTTGGGTGGGAAACATCCCCTGTTCCAAACACACCAACTTTTACTTGCTGTTGCACCCATCTAGAAAAGCTCTTAACACGTCTGCATCATTTTCCATATAATTTTGTATTCTTCAATAAAATTTTGTGCGTCGTTAAAGAGTCCGAAACGAGCTAGCAGAAGAGCTACCATTATAGCAAAAATGTGTTAGGGGTGAGCATTAGGTCAGTTTCGATGCAATCGGTTGGTGATTGAGACGAAACTGACAAAACCGACTTGATTTTTTCACACCGAGCATTGACCCGACCTATGTGTCCGGAATATATCCGAAACTCACTACAGGTCCACTGGACTTACAAAACAAGAATAAAAACCAGATGCTCTGATACCAATAAAGTTGTTATGCCCCGACTCGGAAGTCGAGCACGGACAACCGCCGTGTCACCTCGAAACATGTGTCGGCCTGTCACACACTCAGAAGCAACACGAAGCGTCAATATCAGATAAAAACAACGAAAACATAAATAGAGCATAAATTTTGAAACAATAGCAGTTTCCAAATCAGAGTCAAAGCGGAATTTTTAAAATCGAGAATAGTAATAAAACGATCAAATATTTAAAATCAAAATCATATACCAATAGAGAAAACAATAGTGAAGAAGTTGAATTGCCAGTGGGACCCGTATCGTAGTGAAGTGCCTCTAAGGAGCAACGATAACAGCCTACGCCACCGACTTGACCGCCCAAGGAAACGCAGAGTCCTAACTACCCTGAAATCAGAACAAAGAATTGAGGGGTGAGTACACGAATGTACCCCGTGAGTGAGCCACTGATGCGCCAACGGCTTATCATGGTTTAGAAGAGCACAATGGAGCTAATGTAGAACATGTCTCGGATAAACATGGAGATGTCATGGATGTTCAAGAAGATGCTATGGTTGATCCCGGATTGAACACAAGCTTGGAGGAGCTTAGAGTTGGAGGCATCGCACATGACCGGCCATTGCTTGGAGAAGCCGCGCAACACCAGCCACTTGACCGGCCATCGCATGCGCCATCGCATGGGGCAACTGGTCACAACCGGCCATTGCATCGGGCATCAACCGGCCACAACCGGCCATCGCATGCGGCATCCGCGCACAACCGGCCAATGGATCCTTTAGCCATTCCGCAAGGTCCAATGATAAGGGCTCGGGCAAAAAGGTTCTAGGAAGCTTTATTGGACTTTGTTAGATCTCATCTTGGAGGTTTGGAGTCCATTGAAGAACAATTGGTGAGCATTGAAGTCGACATCACCAAGAATATTCCCATCGATTCCAAGATATTCACCTTACTTGAAGTCGATGATCATTAGTTCTTATGTTGTGTAATTCGGCCACATGGGCCTTTATTCTATCTAGTTTAGTTAATTATTTAGTTTGGCCCTTGATTAGGGTTGGGTCTTGTTCAATTAAATTCAATCCTCATCTATTTTTCCTATTGGTTGTATTTTAGGATAGTTTCTAGAATAATCTATGTAAGCCGCCCTTATGGCTTTAGGATTGGGAGAGAGGTGCGTCCCCTACTACAATATAAAGGGACCATCCCCCTCTTGTAAATATAAGTTGAGTTGATTAATAAAGTTGAGGATTATTTTCCCAAATTGTTTATCTTAGCTTCATTGTTCTAGTTTGAGCAAACTTAGGGTTCTTCTATCTTGTAGAGTCCTAGCAAACAATTAGGTTGTGATTGCTTAATTGTTTGTGAATCTTGTGAACTTAGGTTGATAATTGCAGGTCTAACTATTCATCTAAGGTGACGAACGAAGGAGGATTTATTTAGTGAAGATTGTCGACATACAAGTCTAGGAGATTTGGTAATTCAAGTTGATCTTTGGCGGGTCTCAAAGGTGGATTTGAACCGATTTGGAACTAGATTCGTATCAATTGGTAATCAGAGCATAGGTTTATCATCTTCAAATCGGTAAATCTATCTTTCTATTCATCATTCATCAAGTTTTCATCCATCAAACTCATCCATACACTCATCGCACCACGCTACCTTGAAAATTCAAAAATTCAGAAACTTTGAAAAATCATAACCGATTCATCTTAAACTTGTGATTTTTGTTCTGGGTTCGTTTAAAGTCGGAAATCTTTGAAATTTGAGATTTAGACTTCTTTTAGTGTGTTCTTTCTGGGAAAAATACTGAAAAAAAAATAAAAAAAAATCTGTCGTGTTATCGATTTTTGACATTGATTAGGGTTTTAGTTTGGAAATTTTGGGAATTAGGGTTTTCATTGTGCAATTGATTCAATTTGTTGTAATTAGCCCTAATTGATTGTGTAATTGAGATTCTTGGGTTGCTTTTACTGTGAATTGTGATTTGATTTGAAGAATTTCAGGTTACAAACCCTATTGGAGACAAGTGGTACAAAATTGGATCAAGTGGTACTAGGGTTTTTGCTAATCGTTTGAATTGTTTGATTTGTGCTTGAATTGAGTTTTTGTGCAGCATTGGAGAAGGATTTCAACATCAAAAGCCTGCATAAGTGGTTTGGTTTTGGTTTAAGATCACTTTCCTTTGATTCACAAAAATTTTGCTACTAATTGTTTGTTCCTCAAGTAGGTCACGAGAAGAAAGGGGTCTCTAGAAGTTGCTCTTATTAGGCCTATTGAAAGCTAGTAAAAGCATAATCTTGTGAGATCATCAAGAGAGTAGTGGATCGCCAATCCATAGGACTTGAGTGCAAACACGAGAGCACAAGTCAAAGGTATAATCACACACACACTTGTGAGGATTTTTACTACTAATCTTTGTTCTTTTTGTAGGTACTATGGAAGGAGAACAAGATCAAGTCAATTTGGCTACTATGTTGCAAACCCTAATGCAACGTTTGGATACTAAGGATACTAAATTCGGTGCCTTGGTCGATGATGTCCAACAAGTAAAGGATGGACAAAATCAACAAGCTCAACCACCTCAACAAAGAGCTAATGTCGCACACAACCATGAAAGAGTTCAACATCAACCAAGACAAGTTGTTCCTCGGATGGATCTGTAGACACCCATTTCTCGCCGGTATCCATTGAATTGGTTCGAATTGTCTCTTAACTTTGCATTAGTGGGGCATTTTGGTCAATTTCCTAATTGATAGTTCATTTCAGGATTTTAGTAGGATAATTTAATTAATAAGTCCTTTCTAATTAGTATTTGATTGTCATTTTAGTATCCAAGCTTGAAAAAACCAAAAAATTATTTTCTTTTTATTGTGAGTTAACATTTACCTTTTGCCTTTTTGCCTCTTGAAATATCATTTTTGGGCATAGTTACATTGGCATTGTAATTTTGTTTCGGGGCATTAAGCCTTATTACTTTTGGAGCCAACCTTTTCGGTACTTTGCCTTGGGCTTCATCCTTTTGCATTTGGGTCAATTTCTTTGGGCCTTTTACATTTGTGGGATGCTAGGCTTTCTTATTGGGCCTGTAACTTGCATTTACTTTGAACCCTCTCACATTAGTTGGACTACACTATGATTAACTCTTGATAATGTCATTGGAAAAAAAGAACAAAAAAATTGCATTTTAATTACTTTTCTTTTGCATGGGTCACTAATTTGCAAAAAAAAAAAAGTACAAAAGGTGCATGTGTAATTTGCAAGAGGTGGAGAAGGAAGGGTGGTCACGTTGAAAAAATTTTGATACTTGTGCCAAATGAAATATGTATGACAGAGACGAAGAAGTGGTCAGATAAATGGGAAAAAGAAAGTTAATTGAGTAGTAATGAGATTTAATTAAGGATAGGAAATGCCAAGGCCAAAATGATCCAGGTGATAGGGGCTATAGCGCACCACGTTTTTCCAGTAGCAGTCCCTTTAAGGTCAGCTGAAATGTGCAAACCATATATCGCCACTTTAGGTCACGTACATGCCATGTTACATTTGCAAGGAAACTAGGAATGAGGATATCATACATCATGGTACAAATTAAAATAGTTGCATTTTTTACTTCTTAACACATGCATGAAACAACCATGACATCAGTACATCATCATTTTAGTTAAGCATTTCATCAAAATAAATCACTTTTATGGAAATAGGCATATTTACATAAGTGAGCATCCCATATTTGAGTTAGGCATATTTCATATAAGACACATACATGAGCACTATGCCAACTCGCCAACCCGCACAAGAAGCCAAAACATTAATTGTACTACAAGTGTGCTTGCCACAAACAAGTTTTGTATTGCAGCAGTGATCATGAGCAACAAACAAACGGCTGGAAAATCAGAAATTTACCTTTTGAGTTGTCTAGCTCGCATTGGTTCCCACCTTCAAGATTGGCTCAAGATTGGTTCAAACCATTTGCCCTGTAAAGAGAGAGAGGTAATCAACAAAATAGTAATAGAAAGAAAAGATAAAAATTTCATGTACCGTAAGATGGATAAGCTAACTTACGGTTGGGACTCGGTGGCTCGAGGCTTTATATACTACATTGTTGATTTTAAGTAAGGAGGAGGCACATTTTTCAAGAAAAAAACCCTAGCAGACAGATTCCAAGACCCAAAAAAAAATCCTTAGCAAAAATTCAAAAGTTCATCCATTTCCTATCAAGAAACTGAAAAAACCAGTTTTTCTAGCTCTTCTTTTTAGCTTTTCTTCGTAGTTGATCAAAACACAAAAAATACAAAAAGATTTCTTTGTTCTTCGTTTCCTTTTTCCAGTTTCATTAGCAAAGTAGAAAACTTAAAATGCAAAAAAAAAAAGGGGGTCTAGTTCTTTTACCTTTCTAGTTTCCTTTTCCTTGTTTTGGTCCTCCCATATCGTTCCTTTCATCTTTCCTTCAAAACAAATCAAAAAAAAAAAAACAAGTTAGGGTTCATTAGAGTGAGATTTGGGGATTTTGAGTTCTAGGCTTTGTTTTGTAAAATTGGTCTGATCAAGAGATAGAGTAAAGAGAGGAGAGTAGCTTACCTGAGATTCGGCTTCATCCTACGGCGAGAATTTTCAGATCGAATGGCTTGAATCTCGGATCGGATATCGCTTGATTCACGAGGTTGTCGAAGGATTTTGAGGAAACCAATACCAGATCTGGGAGGAGGAGGACCGGGCGAGCTTGTCTGCAACTTTCGGTGACCATCGGCGGTGGTTGGAGGCTCCGGCACGGCGGTTCACGGTGGCAACGGCGACGGTGCAATTCCCTGGCGGTGTAGTGAGAGAAGCATACGGAGGTGAGAGAATGTATTGATTTTAAGTTTCAATTTTAATTTCTGATATATATATATATATAAGTACTTTTTGATAATTACCTAATAAGCATTCAACATATTCTCCTTGTTTAAGTAGGTCCTGGATTTTAGTTCAGGTCAATCCTCTTAGTTGATATTTTGCTTAAGTAGATCCATATGTAGTAACAATATTCAGTTAGGTCCCAGAACTGATTCAGTTTAGTCCTAGAAGTTTTAATTCAACACAATTAAAGGTTCAATTAATCATTTATTTATTCATACACAAATTAAGTTCTAATTTAGGGAATTAGTCTTAAATTGTTAGAGTTAACGTGATAATTAAATTAGAATTAATTCAGCTAGGAATCACGGCTAATTTTGAAGTTGACTAAAATAATTTAAAGATAAGAAACGTAAATTTTAATTGAGAAACGGCTAGCAAATGATCAATTAGAATTGACTTTAGTTTCGGTAAAAAAAAAATGTTTTTAGTAGTTATTAATAAATTTAGCATTTAGAGTTGGGCAATTATGAATGTTTAGTAATAAAAAATGAGAAAGTATATTTGGGCCTTATAGTTAGGTTTGGGTTTAGAAATTATGTTGGGCTTAGGGTTGCTTGGGCTTCTGTTTTACAAGTGGGTAGAGTAGTCTTCTTGGGTTTTGGTCTTAGATTAAACTTTGGGTCTTAACTTGGATGGAGTTTGGGCTTTGGTTCAGTAATTTGGGCTTAAGATTTTACTTTTATCTTGAATTAATATAGCCATTTTCCAATGTTTTTGAAACCGGACCGGCAGTGGAACCGGTGAAGGCTCCTGTCGGCGGTTTGATCGGTCCAACCGGTTCAACCGTTGGTCCGGTTTGATAAGGGTATTTTATGGAAATTGTTGAGATTTTACCTTTTAAATATTATATATGGTAGATATATGACACATAAAAGCATTTGGTGCAGTGGTACAAGCATATTTTTTGTTTCCCACAAGGTTGTGGGTTCAAAACTCACCTCCTTCAAAATATTTTACAAAAATTTCAAATTTCAAAACCGGTTTTATCCGGTCAAACCCGGTTCAACCGGTTTTTTCACGGTTGTTGACCATGTTGACTAACCGCGGTTCCCACACCTTCAAGGACCGGACATACCATCGGTTCCCGGTTTAACCGGTCCGACCGGCCGATCCGATCCGGTTATTAAAACAATGCCATTTTCCTTTTAAATAAATAAAAATTTAGAGCTTAGGAATAACTTCATATGCATCCATATTTAAATTTCATACTTATGTTGTTAATGCCACGCTCATGAGACTAAAATTAAAGTGATTCCCGAGAAGGGAAAGGAGGGCGGCTCATTCATGCGTGTCTGAGTTTGCTCGCCTTCTCCCGGAGGCTTGGAAATTTTCGGAGGTTGTTTACCATTTATTGGGAGGCGGCCAAAGGTGTTTGTCGTATAATTGGTGGGTAATTAAATTTTAATCGGAAAGTATGCATTCATGTGCATTCATGCATTTAGATTTAGTAATTTTCAAGTAATTGATAAGAAAAATCCAAAAAAAAAATTGAAAATGAAAATAGAATAAAACCATTTTCTTCAAAATTAAAAAAGAGTTTGTGCTTGATAATTGTTCTCTTTTAGTTTTCCAAGATAAAAATTAAAAAGGAAAAAAAATTGAGTCTTTCAAAATTAAATAAAAAGGTTTTCAAAAATCCAAAAAAAAAATTCAAAATTCAAAATCAAAAAAGGAATTTCAATTCAAAGTTTTCAAAGTGTTCAACTTAGCTCTTTTCAAATTGGGAAAGTTCCCATCAAGTTTTCAAAACATTCAAACAGTTTTTTTCAAATTGAGTCGTTTTAACGGTAAGTTTTAAAGAAAATCCTCATCATGAGGAGTCCAAAAAGAGGACAAAGAGTAAACGGGAAAGTTCCCAACATTCCTATTTTTCAAAATCCAAAATCCATTTTTGCTTGTTTATTTTCTTTCAAAGATTAATAAAAGAGTTCAATGGCATGAAGATACTTAAGAATATGGACAACCAATAATAGAAACCCAAAGTTAATCCTGGACTAGTCAGTGCCGTCTTTTTTACGGGCATCGTGGGGGTGCTAATCCTTCCCCACGCGTACCCGACTCCCGGATCTTTAAAACTCTGGTTAGAAGACCGTTTATTAGGTTTAGTGTTACCTTCGCCAAGCTTAGGTTAACAGTATGCTTAATAATCTGATAGGTGGTTAATCACACCTAGGTTAAAAAAGATTAGTGGCGACTTCCGATAGGATTTCAATAGTTTTTCCCGTAGTTGTTTCCACCTTTTAAGTCGTTTAACGGTAGGGTTCGGACCCCCCGGACGCGGACATTGCGACAGCTTGGCGACTCCGCTGGGGATCGTTAGAGAGTCAAACTGAATGCTAGTTTAGAGTTGACTAGGGTTTTCGAATTTGGTTGTTTGCTTGTATTTATTCTTGTTTATTCATGCCTGTCTTTCTGCCTTTTCATGCTTACATGTTTTCATATTTTTGTATAATTTTGTCTAACCTTTCATGTACTTTTTTTCCTATTGTTTTCCTTGGGGGGGGGGGGTAGTTTAGTAATTTGGGTTAGAATTCGTTGGTAAAGGTTTGTATGTTCCTTCACACGTGCACTAAATAAGTTGTATTCTCATTCTGCATGAGCTTATACCGGAGCTCTATCCCTTTAGGAGGAAGTAAAGTAGCTAACCTTCGTGTGACAATCGTCTCCGTGCGGGTTTTGCCAAATACCTCCACTCAGTCTGGACCTTACTAGCCCAGAGTGGGCGACAGTAAGGACAGTCTGGAACCTTTAAATCTTGTGTGAAGACTCG